TGGACATGGGGAATCAGGGGTGGAAAGGAGGAGTGTGCTGTCACAGTATGGGGAGAGCAATTAGAGTCACTTAACAATGTATGTATAAATTTTTGTATGGGTTAAAAAGAAAATAGAGGGACCTCTGCATATAGTATCAGCCCATAGGAAACAGAATGGGTTAGTGTTTTGAGGGCCCATGCCTAAGTCCTTTGGCCTGTGCCTCACCAAGTCAAAGTTCTGTCCACAGGTTTGCTGCAGTGTCCCCTTTGTAAAATACATGGAAAAGTCTGTGGCTTCCTCCCTGCCATCTCCCCAGAGATGCTTTGGAGATAAATAATACAGTACCACATTCTCACAAATTGTAGATGTCTTAATATTGCCTCTGCTGGGTTTGATGACATCCATCCTCCAAGTAACTTGGAGTATAGGCTCACCTCTGATACACTCGTCCCATTACTAGCAGTGTGATCACTAGACAAGCCACATAACCTTTCCAAACTTTGGTTTCCTCATTTGTAAAATGGAACACCACTTCATGGAGTTCTTGAGGATAAATTAGAGATTTAGCACAATACCTGACACAAAAGAAGCACTTACTGAATTTAAATTATTATTTTTTTATGAAGCAAGAGACAGACATCCACAACACACTGAGTCAGTAATTTTCAGTACTATTTATATTCTCTATTACCACGTACTCTCAAACTTAGAAATCAGGCCTTGCTGTATCATAAGGTAAGAGAGTAACAGGAGTAGTGAGTAGTGGCCTTGGCTGAAATGGCTACAGTTCGCAATCTGACTGCGTACTTCTCTGGTCTCAGCTTAGGCCAGGGGAATCCATGTTTGCACAAGTGACCACCAGCAGCTCAGTATCCCTGTTCTACTCCACCCTGCCCCTCTTTCCTCCAGATACCATGGTATGCACAGGCTGTTGCTCCTGCCTAGACCACATTGTGACGTACCTCTTCAAGCAGCTGTCACGTAGCACCAAGAAGAGGACAACACCCCTCAACCAGGAGAGTGACCGTTTTCTGCATATCATGCAGCAGCATCCAGAGATGATCCAACAGGTAAGGAACTTGAGGGTTAGGAGGCAGTGAGGGATGTTCTACAGTAGAAGAAATCTCTCTGTAAGAGAGGACGGACAAAGCAAGATGATGAGTTTGACTAATACATGATCAAGTTAACAGCGCTAGGGTGAAGTTATTGCAATGGATTTTTAGATTTTGCTGAGTTATCATTGGATATAGAAAAATCTGGAAAAAAATCATGTTCTAAATTGTTCTTCGAAGTCACCCACCCATCTCTTTGCCTTGCCCCATCTCGTAAGCACTACCCTCCCTCCGTGAAAATGACTGTTCACCTACTGCCAAAAATGGAGCATGGGTCAGCAGTACCTGCCCTTCTTATGGCCTGTATTCTCATTTGCAAAACGGGAACAGGAATACAGGACAGAAGGAAATCACTGACCACACAGAGATCTCATCATATGCTTGCCTTCAGTTTATTTGTATGCAACATCTTTTCAAAAATAAGTTTTAAAGCAAATTAAATATACTACTAGATAAAAATAGATAAGGAAATGGGTCAGTGGAATTATTGTCATAGTATTTTCACCAATCTCATCTTTGTCCACGTTGTTCTCTATAAAACAGTGAAGTAATATACATCCCTATCACATTCCCAAAAATCTTATAAAGCTGCCTCCTCAGAGACAAGGACCTGGGAGCAATGACGCAAGGCAGTATTGCCTACTGTAATTGTGTTTGCTTGACCCCATCCCATTCCCTACAGAAATCAGGGTGAACTGGGAAAGTCCAATTTTAAATGAAATTATCAAACTAATTTAAAGAACAGGAAAGGAAACATCTGAGAAGAAAAGCTTACCTTGAAATACAAGATTAAAATGAAACATAAAATATTTGTCTGCTTTACCCTGGACAGAAAAGACCTTCACCTAATTTGGAATCTGTAATTTTACCTCCCACCAAACCACACACTTTCCAAGTTCATGCCTTAATATTCCATTTCCAGATGCTGTCAACGGTGCTGAACATCATCATCTTTGAAGACTGTAGGAACCAGTGGTCTATGTCCCGTCCCCTACTTGGCTTGATACTACTTAATGAAAAGGTAGGAGAGCCAGAACTCTGCCGACAGCCAGAAGCAGTGGTAGGCACACAGTTAGCTGTCATTTTCCTGGGCACTGTGAGAAACCCTTACAAAACACCCCAGAATGGTGAAATGGAGAAGAAAGGACCCATTTACAAAGCATACCCTATTCATGCTTTGAACATCAGCTATACTAATAATTACTTAAAATGGTTGGAAGTCAGCACGTGGCAGTCAGACAAAGTAAAAGATGAGGAAGCGTTTTCTTCTTGGAAGTAAAAGAAATGCTTTAAAAGGAGAGAATAATACCTAAAGGTCAAAGCACCTAAGACCTAAGTTCTAGTTCCAGCTCTGATAAAAATGAATGTAAATAAATAAAAAAAGTCTTGAAATCCCTATAAAAGAAGGGTCTGGATCAGAAGACCCTTAAGGTGCTTTACAAATTTAAAATTCTTTATTTTTAAGTAGAGTGGAGATAAATTATCCTGCAAGTGCTTGCCTAAATTTAAAAAAAAAAAAAAAAGTCTCTATAGATATTCCCTCTTGAGGAAGAACATTCCTTCAACCCTGCAGATGACGGGGGCCAATCTGCCTTTCTCCCATCTTCTCCTTACCCTCTGTCTTACTCCTTGCCCCACAGTATTTTTCTGACCTAAGAAACAGTATCGTGAACAGCCAGCCACCAGAGAAGCAGCAGGCTATGCATCTGTGTTTCGAAAACCTGATGGAAGGCATCGAGCGAAATCTTCTTACGAAAAACAGAGACAGGTGAGTGTAAAGGGTCCTACCAAGACATCCTGGACAGTTGCTATTTTTCAAACCATTGAAGCAAGAGAGTTTCTTTAAAAGTCTTTGTGGACCCATATTTGGAGACCATCTAAAGCAATGCTGTCCAATAGAAAAGTGAGCCACGTATATAATTTTAAATTTTCCAGGAGCAACATTTAAATAAAAAGCAACAGGCAGAACTCATTTTAATAATATATTTTATTTAATCTGATGTATCCAGAATATTATCATGTCAGTGTGTAATTAATATAAAAATAATTGAGAATTTAAATTCCTTTTTTTGTACTAAGTCTTCAAAATCCTGCGTGTATTTTACACTTACAGCGCATCTCAATTCAGATGCTAAATTTTCATCAGAAATACTTGATCTGTATTTAGATTTCATAAAATTTACGCTTGACCAAGTAGATTCCCATACGCAAGTTGTTCCATACATACTTAAAATTTTCCAATAACTGAGTTGAGCATCAGGGTTGTCGGTTTTCTTTTTTAATTAATTTAACTTAATTTAAAATTCAGTTTCTCAATTGCACTACCCATCATTACGTGCTTCAGTAGCCACATGTGGCTAGTAGCTACCATATTGGACAGCACAGATCTAAGCCATTGGTCTCTTGACATTAAGAAATGATACAGCTTCATTCTCTTACTGCCCTGCTTGGTAAAGGCTACTTCCCACCTCTGTCAGTGAGCCAGCTTAATTGTAGCCCCAAGACCAGATTCTTTTTGTGCTGCCTTGAGCCCAGAATGGCTCACCAGGCCCCAGATTTAACCAATCTCTAGCTGCCACAAAGTTGCCAGGTAGAAAGGGGGGCAGAACTAGCCCAGCTTTCCCATATAGTCTTAAGACAGAGATTAACTGACTTTAGAAACAAAACCCATCAGTTCAGACATTCTGCTTCTCAGTAGCCACTTCTCTGCTAAAAACATTTTAGGCAAAGACCTTTCCCTTCCACCCTATTCCCCCAACCCACATGCATCCTCTCTGCAGGTTCACCCAGAACCTGTCAGCATTCCGTCGAGAAGTCAACGACTCAATGAAGAATTCCACTTATGGCGTGAATAGCAATGACATGATGAGCTGACACCTCCTTGGACTCTACCTGTACAGAGCAGCGTCCCTTTGGTCTGGCCCAGAGGGGTGAACAATTACAAGGGAGAGGGCCTCGCTGATCCTGGCTCCTTCCTCCAGGGGTGTGGGGGAAATGGCAAAGGTCAACTAGCTGTCTCCCCAGGGCATAGGGGTGTGAATGCACTCACTGGGGCAGGGCGCTGCTGGTTCCTGGGGGATTGGGCGGGAAGGGTGGTGGGAGGAGATAAAGACACAAATGAGTGAGATTCCAGCCCCCTCCTCCTGGGGCCACCCAAGAGGGGAGAACCCCCAGTGTCCTGCCACAACCTGCCTTGTATAAACATGTACATTTTTTCATAACATTTTGAACAAGGTTTATATTGACTCAAGTTTAAAAACAAAAAGTGTGACTGAAAAATTTTTACAGAGTCTAGTGCACCAATGCTGATGTGAGGGGTTGTGTATGCGAGTGAAGAAAATGTGTATTCTGGTGGCCTGAAGCTTTACTGGACAAGGATGTGTGAAATTGCAGAGATATATTTAGTGACACAAGTGTAGAGAGGCAAAACAAAAAAAAAGTTAAGATTCCAAATGTATATTTTTTCTTATTGCCCTTTCCTTGCCCCAAAAATTATCACTTCCTGTTACTGTATTAACCCTTGTTATTAGGAACTCTAAGCCATGCCGGAGCACCACCCCTCCCCCATTAACCACAGATGCCGCCCTAGGTCCCCTGGCCTCTTGCAGTGACAGACAACTCCAGTTAAAAGTGTTTGGTGTTCTTATCGCCACCCTTTTCCCACTTTTACCCTCATCCTCAAACAGATCCTCTTGCTTTTAAAGTCCGATTTTACCTATAAATTTAGGGGTCTTTGTCTCTGGAAAGGTAGAGACCTGAGAGAAGTAATTAAGCCAGTTGCTGTGCTGCTGAGCAACTTGGATGAATCCATCAGAGGCCTGATTGCGTGTGGCCAGTAACTTTTAGTCTTCCCCAGCCCTTGAGGCAGTGTGTGTGGATGTGTGCGTGTGGATATTTATATATACCCTGCACTCATGAATGTATGAACTGGAGGAAGTTAACTACAGTGGAGGGGTTCTTAATAACAAGGTCTGCCTAGCATGAAGTATTTAACATTATCCCACCTCTTTAAAAATATACATTTTTATAAAATGAAAACCATAATAAATGTTTTGAATATTAAAAAAAATTAACCTACGGAGGAAAATTAATGGAGAAAGCTATCTGCCTTGTACTTTTTCCACAATTATTGCTGCTAGTTGTACGCATCTCTAGTTCAGCTCTTGCCCATGGGACACTCATCAATTAGGTTTTATTTTTATTTCTCTCCTCTACCCCAGAAACAAACCTGTTAATTTTTTTTCCTTCTCCGGCGACTGTGTGGTGAATCCTTTCTTGCGTGATCAGGTTGCAGATAGACTTGTAAGGGTGTTTGCTGCATACAGTGTAAGCATTGTGACCGCCAATAAACTTCAATGGTTTCTACTGACCTGGTTTCAGCAATCAAGTCTAGTGTGTCTACAGGGACATGTCTAACTCTAAACACATGAAGATATTTGAAGCATGCATTCTTAAAAACCAGTGGATGGCAGAGGCCCCTCAACCTTATAAAATTAGCTTGTTTCTCATTGGGCTAATCTGACTCGATTTCCTTTAAAAATACTAGTTTTATATATATACATATATATATAGCATATGCTATTGTCTCCAGCTGTAAAAGGGAAGCTACTCTACCTGGCCTTTTTTACTAGCTTCCATGTAATAATATGGCTGCCAGCAGAGAAGTAGTAATTGAATTTGTTCATGTTCTGACATCTCTAATGAAGGCTGGACTTTCTCATCAGACCTTTACCAGTTCAAGGGCAAATGTTATCCCAAAGGATACTCTGCAAACCTCACGGGCCAGATTTATCAAATGAACACTGTAGTTCACAGGGACTACTTCTAATCCCTGTACTCTGTAGTACCTGAGTATGAGAAATACCTGTTCCAGGAACACTGAGAAGGATTAAGATACAGATATGTATTTGTACCTAAATGCAGATTTAAATCCTGTGAATTACAGGCTAGAGTGCCACTCGTCTCTGCCTCATTTAGATGTTCTGCTATGTTGGCCGGCTCTACAGGGTCACTGTGAGTCAGAATCAACTCGACAGCAACAGGCTACAGTTATGGGTTTAGTCTGCTGGGTACTATTATAACCTTCCCAGTCCTGAGTTATTTCAAAGGCAAAAAAATTGTATTCTGTTAACCTGGAAGGCAAATAGAAATGAATACTATCTTAGCCAAGTTCCTTCTCTAAGTTTAATGGAAATAGAAAATTGTGAAGCTTAATATGGAAAATAGTCCTGTCATATGCTCCAGGGACCTAGAATTCTAATCCTGTAGTATACGAGACTAAAAATAACTCTCAGCGAGAAAGTGTGGATGAAGAGCCTCCCCTCCCCACCAAATACTCTGGGATGATGACTGATCAGCACAACCCCACAACCCCCTTCCTTTCCACAAGAACAATTCCACAGGCAAGAAACTCACCAAAGATGTAGTTGGTTTCAGTGCAGCCCTAAGCACAGTCCAGCCCCGACACGGTGCCATAGTTAAACTCTTCCACAGCCTTCATCAGACTTTTCAAACGCTACTGCTGGTCCCCTCCTTAACTGACAATTATAAGAGGAAGCATAAAAAAGGAGTAATTTTTTTGGGCAAAAATGGTTAATTATCAGCAATTTCCTGACTCAATAAATGTGAAAGTTGATTACCTTTAGACTGGTTTTTCCAGAAATCATGTGAGAGGCTTTATTCAGTCAAAACAGGCATTTATTTAGAAGTTTCTGGGCACCATGCTCATTAAGCCATTGTCTTTAGATGGTGTTTCCTGATACAGACTGTACCTTACATTGGCAAAATCCCAAAATTTTTCACTGCAGATTATTAAATTTTATTATGTATGTATTTATTTTGTTGGCTCTGTTCAAATAAGAGTGATCTCTTTCCACTAAAGAATAAATCAGACAAAGGAAGAGGGGATTTGACCCAACGTCACAGTTTTAAATTTTTGGATTTTAAAAGTAATGGCTTTCAGCAGAAGTATCGATTTTCTAATGACAAGTGACAACGTACTAAGACATAATAGTTTAACATTCTGCAAAAAATGGCCTTATTCTCAAGAACTTTTTTCCCCCAAGTGGAAGAAATACTGTTTTAGTACCCTCTGAAATTCAGCCAAGTACAGAAACAGACCAGTTTCTAAAATATCTATGGGCATGGGGTAACATGAACTTGAATCTAGAAAGCCAAACCCGGTGAAGTCGATTCTGACTCATGGCGACCCCATGTGTTACAGAACAGAACTGCTCCATGGGGTCGTCTTTGCTGTAATCTTAACGGAAGCAGATAGCCAGGCCTTTCTTCTGCAGTATCACTGGGTGGGTTCGAACCACCAACCTTTAGTAGTTGAGCACAAACCATTTGCACCAAAACACCTCTCACTTATCTGCCAGCAGCTAACCCCACACCCCCAGGATTTATGGCTAGATCTACAATCCTAAGTTGACGTCTGCCGTGCCAAAGCCAAATGCCAAAACAAAAAAAGGAAAGATAGTTACAGGAAGCTTGCAAAAATCATAAGTCTGATAGGTAGGCCTTGAAAAATGTTTAAAGTCCTAGTTCTTTATACATTTTTTTTAAATAACTGATGATAAAAATGTATTCACTAGCCATAATTAAACAGCTGCCAATTAAATGCCAGCTAATATCTAAGAGGATCCTTGCCTCTCTAGCTTGTCTTCTAGGTCAACATTACATCTATCTTGGGTATCTTTGATACCCTGGAATTCACTGGTCACCCACTTTGGAGTGTCTCTGAAATGGTGGGTCAACTAAAGAAATCAGCTGTCAGACAACGGGGCATTAGACAGTTGGAATGGAAGATGGAATCAAGTTTGGAATAATAATATCCCCCTCAGAAAACCCTTAGGGGTCCCAGGACAGTCTGGCTGCTTCCCTTTGTCATCTGTTCATTCACCAAATACTTGTTTACTATAGCAACAAAAAAGGAATCTCAAAAGCAAAAATCATTTGCAAGGCAAATTTATTTCTACCCTCCTGCTTTCTGTGGGTAGTATCCCTCAGTAGTACAAATTGATTCCAAAACACATTATGCAAGCACCATACACAGCAGTTATGTTTTTAATTTTGCCTGACAGCCATGGAGACAGACAACTCAGACTTAAGCATGCAGCATCACTTCCATGGCCCAAACCATCTCAGTATTAGCAAGTCTGCGTGTTTGGGTTCAAGGTCTGAAGGACAACCAGACTGTCGCAGGATAAAAACTGACTAATGGACAATGGATTTGACCTATGTAAAGCTCAGCGAGGTCACTACAGAGTCTGATAGGTACTCCCTGCAGTTAGTAAAAGGATGGAGAAAAATAAAGCAGTACTCTAGAAGTGAGAAAATCCAGGCCACCTCTTCAGCTCTTAAATACTGTACAATGAAGGTAAATCATGCTCCCAGGGCTGAATTCTGGAAAAATGGTTGTTGAGAATACCAACCAAATTAATGGAAATGAAACCACTCGTTTTAAAAGTATAGCATGATATCGTTTGTATTTATTAGAAACCAATTCCCCATCTTTAACATCTTGCAGTTCGGGGAGTGTATCACAAAGCAGACCAAGTTATAAACCTTATTACCCAAGCTACACACTGGCTGCAGTAGAATCCTTCCCTTCAGCTACACAGATGTACCTGCCACCTCTGTCTCCACGCCCTACTTCACGCCTTTTCCCGGTCTGCAGAATCCTTCTCAGTCAAAACTTCCATGTCCTTTGCCCACCTACCCTTTTCAAGAACCAAAGTTGAGCCCCACTCCTTCTCAAGTCTTCTCTTACAGTCTCCGTCCCTAATAATCTTATAGCCTACTCACCATTTTTGAGTTTCACTAATCCCCACCTCCCTCCCCGTCCCTGCAACCAAAATGTGCCCCTTACGAGTCGGGAGGCACCAGGAGGAAAAGATCATGATCAATGAAAAGAATACGTAGTTTCTGGGGGGTGGGGAGAGTGCAGAAGATGGCAGGTTGGGGATGGAGAGAGTAAGAGGAATTTATTTGAGGAAGCCCCTGCAGAGTCGCCAGGAAAAGGGCAGAAGCCGATAACACCATCCCCCCTGGACCCTGCAAAGGAAAGACGTAAAGAGTTAAAGCCCGACCCGGCTAGACTTCCGCAACAAGCCGTCACTGACGGGCCGCGGCCACGTTACAACCCGCTTTCCCGGAAGTGATTCTCCGCTGTCCTTCAGCAAGCGGACACGCTGCGGCCGGCGCTCCCGTTGCGTCTGCGCACACAGGCTGCTCCCAGGCGAGTCGTCCCCGCGCCGTGGTTTGCCCCGCCTTTCGCCACACTGCGCGGGCGCAGTCATGGCTCCTTCCTGGAAGGACGCGCAGGTTGTGTGGCCGCCAAAAGGCTGCGAATTTGCTTGGTCCCTACGAAGTTGTTCTTCTTGAAGAAGACATGAATTGATCTGCTGCCGCCCTCTGATTCTATCGAGCCGAGTGCCCGGTAGAAGCTGGAGTTCACGCGTGTCGTGTTCCCACAGTGGTAACCATAGAGGCCTTGTTCCAGGCGATGAGGTACAGGGATAAAGGACTGGGTCCTGGCCTTGGAAGAACTCGGTGGAGTGGGCAAACTGACTGAAAAGGATAATTACCGCGTAGCACAGTATGCTCTGGGAGTATGAAGGCGAAGAACCCAAACTGATCCCTAACAATTAGAACTAACCAGTCGAAGAAGACAGAGAAGAACTCTCAGGCAGAGGGACTCGTGCAAAAACATTAAGGCATGAAACACTTTGTACCTCTCTAGGAGTTGCAAAAATTGTGTGGCAGGTTGGAGAGTGGCAGCCTTCTATGGGTGAAGGCGGGGCGCTTTGCAGGTTGCATAGCAAGAGGTTGGAATTTGATCCTAAAAGCAGTAAGTTTCCAGAGGCCACTATGCAAAGCAACCTAGTGATCAGTCTTTGCTTCGAAAAGGTCACTGTTGCAGCCAGGCAGTGTGGAGGATAAATTTCAAGAGACCAGCTAGTGGATAACAAGGACTTGAACCAAGGCGAACGCTCTATGGAGAGAGTTGAGAAATATTAAAGGAGGTCGAATCAACAAGACTTTGTGACCAGTTGAATGTGGAGA